CAATGCGCAGACAGCTTTGCTGTTGTGCTGCTACGTTGAACATTGAGTATCGGTGTCCAGCTAGTATCCAAAAACGCGTTTCCTACACAAACATTTTGATAATGTCCAGAAAGGGTCAGGAAGGGGATCCAGCCAATTCCTACCGTGCTTCACCACTCTATGATTTGTGGTTCCCACTGGTGCATGTCCTGTAAATACCTTGTCCTGTGGTGGAAATATAGCCTGTGTCATGCAGGCCCTCGGCTGGTATTTGTGGGTCATTAAATAGACGGTGGAGGGGTTGAACAGGTTTCACCCAGAGAGTGGAAAGCTGTCAGGGTGATGCGCTGGTGGGAGTAGGTGGCTGTCTGGGAGCTGGGTCTGTTTGCTGGGAGGTGAACAGGGTACGGGGGGGTTGTCTGGAGGAAACCCAGCATAACCTCTTTCACTGCTGGTTTGAGCTATTTAACACACCACCACACAGCGAGTCCCGCAGAGGTGATGTGGTGGCAATATAGCACGGGTACTGTGGTTGTGAGCAGTCCCCAAGGACCATCCCCTCGCCGAGGGACCCGCCATGGCCTTCGGCCCGAGAGGTGAGTGAGACCCTTGCAGCCCCAGCGACTCCCAATGGTCTTGAACAGCAGCAGCAGCCGTCAATGGCAGTGAAGTCAGCAACATTGCAGCAAATTATCTTTTCTCTCTTATTAATGATAAAAGAGGTAATAATCCTCCTACTGGACTAATTACAGTGAAAATATGGTAATGAGAATAATTCCCATTGCCAGTATTTGAAGAGTTACAATTTACATGAAAAAAGAGGCCTATGTAAATAGCGATTATTATTTTGTACATGGCTCTCTCTTGTCCATCTATTCTGATCTCAGCAAATCACAGTGTAATTAATCATAGAGAATTAAGCGCTGCAGGGAAAGGACCGGGAAATTACGTAGAAGCAAAACTCTCGTTGGTTTTGGCTTAAACTTAGGTTGTCTGTCACAAAGATCATATTGCCTGCTCTGCTTCCTACCTGCCAGCTCTTCCTTGCTACTGTCGGAAATCAGTGTAATTTCCCTAAAGAAAGCAGTCCGACTGCTTTCCAGGTGTCTCCCTGGCATTGCATGGCTGGATCCGTGTGGATTTGGAGGCAGCTCCCCAGTTCTTTGGGACAAGCGTTGGGAAGGTTGGGGTGCTCTCCTGCCTTGTCCCTCCTTGCTTGGCAAGCACTGGCAGGAGGTCAGCCAACCAGGTGCAGGTCATGCCCAGGTATCTGCGGGAAGGTCGTCACCCCAGCTCTGCCAGGGTCAGTAATCGTAACCCCTACCAGTATTTCCCTTGCCAGAGCTGCATGTGGCTGTCTGCCAGTAACACGTATATAAACTCCTCTCACCGTTAATTACCTTGTCCTGGATGCCTGGACTGCCTGATTCCAATTACGGCACCAAAATCCAGCATTTCTTGCCCTCCAGCCTTTGTTTTTGGCCAAAGTTGGTAATGAAGATGTGGTTTTGCTGGCAGATCAGCCTGTTCCCCAAAAAGCCACGCCTGTAACGGCTCATGGTTAAACATTTGATATGGGATCACTTGATATTATCTGTCTCTTTGCTATTGCAGTCCATGATGATATCTCATCTTTATTGCCCGAAATAAAGTCTGTTAGCTAATGAGTTTCCTAATGATTGTGTGAGTAATTCCCATGTGAACAACTGCTGCTCTTTGCCATAAATGGGCAGGCTTAGAACATACACTTCTATCTGGTCCTTCTTATTCTTGTTTCAAAATTTGGGTTTGTAGGGGTTTTTTTCTTAAAGGAAGATCTTTGGTTTTAATTCTTTATAGATCATCACCTCCTTGCAGGGCTGATAGCCCCAAGGTATCTTCATGTGTCTTGGTGAGTTTGAACAGTGCAATTGGTGTCATCTCATTATAAATTAATACATATAATAATATATAATAATATATTCTATAAATAATATAAATAATATAAATAATATAATAATAAATAATATATATAATAATAAACAGAGGGAGCACTCTTTAATGAGAGGCCTCCTAGATTTTGGTAGGGTTTTAGTGAGGTGCTGAGTGCCTAGAGTGACCTGGTTTTTTAAGCTTCCCATGGGATCCCTTCGGGTTGTCCCATCAAATGTATTTTGCTGGTCCTCTACAGAGAACTTTGTCTCCAAACTTGTTGCTGCTGTGAGTGCAGCAGCTTTGGTCCATTTACCCTTTTCTAGCCACTAATGAACAGTTACTGAATTAGAGTGGTTTTAAATAAAACCCAAAAAAGTAGTCATGGAGAGTAGCTAAGCCTTTAGGAACCACATGAATTAGCAGCCAGTTCCACCCAGGCTATCAGGCATGGTTTGCAGTATGTGGACAAATGGCAATAGCTGAAAACATTTGCAGGCAGCGGAGATTTAATTAGGCACTCAGGACAAGCTTTGCCTGCGGTAGTGCTGTCCTGGGATACAGCTACAGCAATGCTGCTCCCACGAGCGCCTGTGGGGAGGCAAAGTGCTGGCAAGGTGAAGATGGGGGGAGGCAGGAGCAAGCATCTGTGCCTGCCCTGGAGGTCCCCAGCTGGCACCGCTTGCACTGGCCGTCATGAGAACACACGCGCACACATGCACATGCACACACACACACACAGGCACACACACAGAGTTCACCTGATTCCCAGAAATACTTCCCCATTAAAATGAGACCTCCACTGAGCTGCAGGTCCCTCTGGCCCCCCTTTTCTTTGCCTGTTGCTGGTTTGGTGGTTGCTCTCTCAATAGCCCCAGGTGCTACATGGAATCTATGTGGCTTCCAGTAATGTCTCTGGGTTGAGAATGGTCCTGAAGAGGAATGAAAAAGTAACACACTCTAGCAAGGAAATATTTTGAGGTCTGCTTGGTTATACTGAGTTTAGAGAAACCTAGCGTACCTTAGCTCCGTAGCTGCAGGCTCAGCTCTCACCACAAGCTGTGGGCAGCCCGTATCACTCTGCTTCCCAGTCCATAGTGTTTCTGATGTTCCTGCAAAATTGGTCATTTTTATTAGCGCAGAGCTGTAGGCTGTATGACTATCTAGGCTTTCAGCTTCACAAGAAGACGGGGCGTTGTGGAAAGGCTGTGTACAGGACTATCGTCCTTATGGAGCCAGCAGAGCCAAGAGAGAGTGTTTTCCTCTGTGCCAGGGAAGGGGTCTAGGGAGGTAAGTATGACTCAGGGAGCCTGGAAATGAAAACTGATGGATATCAAACTGGAAAGAAGGTTTTAATTTAGCACTGAGGGCAATTAGACACCAAAAAGACAAAGAAAAAGCAAAATAAATTCTTCCTTGCTTGAGATCTTAAAGCTAATATTGTCTGTCTGAAAGAGGACCTAGTACAGAAATAGGATGTTCCCCATGCAGAAACCTCAACAGGAATCAGGGAAGGGCTTGGCTAGTGGAAGTCACTGACGTCTTTCCTTGCCCCATGGCCCAGGCGGGTGAAGCTCCCCCAGCACAGCTCGAAGGCTACAGCAGAGCCGTGACGTGAAAGGGATCCCTAGGATGCAGTGCTGTACAAAATGTATCCTGTAAGATTGGTCACTGACACACAGATTCACAAACATTGTTGTCTCAAATGTTAAAAGGATTACATCTTACTTCTTCCTGTGTTTTTTTTTTTTCTTGTCCTTCTTATGTGCCTCATTTTTCTGTACAGAAGTAGAAAAATCATGGTTCAAGACAAATTTCTGGTCCATCAACATTGCCTTCGCAGCAAGAGGTCCTGAAAGAGCCTCCCTGGCCTGTCCTTTCCCCCACTGCCCCAGCAGGACTTCACATAGCAAAGCATTTGCTTGCCATTAAGCCACAAGCCATGTCTTTGCCATGCCAGCTGTATATGCTTCGGGATGCAGAAAGTGTCGGTACTCCCCTCTTGGGGGGGCTGGGAGACCCCAGCTTGCGCAGCAAGGCTGGCTTCGCATGCAGTCCCCCACAGGGCGGCCAGGGCAGCGCAGGAAGATTACTGGCATTTAAGGCAGTTTATTGCATTATTTGCCTTATGATGGGTCACGAAAAAGATAGTCAAAGAGGAGGGTAGATAACAGGCTATGAAAACAAAGGAAAAGCCATTAAGGTTTTTTCTTCACTTCTTTATTCAAGGCCTATTAAGGCTTCTGGAAGTGTGCTAAAAGCCAAAGAGGCCCCTGCACTCTGGCTGTTACAGGCATTTCCAGAAATTATTTTTTCAGAACTGGGAAAGGGCAAACACAGAGGGCATCTCTCCCTTTCATCCATCTACTGCTGCTGGGTGCACACAAAGCTGCCCTGCTCCCACAGCTGTGGGTGTCCCCGGTGCCGTGGGTGCAGCAGGGTGCTGGCTCCCAGCAGGGCGGTGCCTGGAGCTTGGCAGGGGGTGGGCATGGGCTGTGGATGTGACTTGCTCAGAGACTCCCAGCTGAGAGTTAGACAAGGCCATTTGCTAGTTTACCAGATTAATTGCTCACCTCTGCGCATGCATGGCTGCAAACCCCCAGGTGAACATGTTGAGCCGGGTGTCAGCAGCCCCCTGCCACTTTGAAGGGTGCGCACATGCCGTGGCAACAGCACTAGGCGAAGGTTTAGGGGTATATCATGGACAACCAGGGTGTCCTGGGGCACTTCAGCTACACACAAGAGTGCAGACCCCAAGAGTACTTCTGGATCTGCTGTTTAACTTTTTTTTGTCCAACTGCAAGTATTTAAAATGTCCTCCAGCATGTCTGTACTCCCCAGCAGGTCAGTCTAAACATCTTACAGTATGGGAAGGTGAATGTGGTCCTGCAATAACACTTTGGGTTTTTTTTCAGGACAACTATTTGCAGTACATAGGTATTTCATTAAAAGCAGGAATCATCTTTAAATGGAGATAGACTTTTCTTCTGGGGAGCTTTGAGACTTTGCAGCGGTCACTAAACTGTACAAAGCAGCTGT